TTATAAGAGATAGCCATATAATTTTTATTTTTGTATTCACTGTCTGTGTTCCCCATCTACCTTGGAGTTCCTTCTTAAGGGACACTATATTTGGGAGGACTAATCCCATTTGCCCTAATCCGCCAGTGCTATGCAGACATTATAGTTGCAATGAAAGTGCATATGAGCACCCACATTCCCCCACCGTATCTACCCAAGTATAGTATGGTGTAAAGATTTGCAGCCATGTCGGAGCTATTATCTATCATCCCACCTAGACCTTGTCACTATGTGACTAGCCAATTGGAATGGATTGGGCTATTCCATCTGCCTATCTGTCCCAGGTAGGGACCAGAATGACGTGTTGTGGACACTCCTGGTCATTTTATACTGGATAAGGGGGTCACTCAGTCACCAGGATTCCATCCACAGGCATCACAGATAGCCACCCACAACAAACAAGTGGCTCCATTGAGGGGAATTTATAGGTTTTTGGGAATCAGTTTTTGTGAACGTGCATTTTATATATTGCAATTTGTATTGCTGGTATTATTATTATAAAAAAAACATCTTTACACTTTCTTAGTTCTCCAGTTTGAGGTCAGGGGGGAAACTATTTGCCCATAGCTGGGAACCTAACAGGTGCTACCACCCCATGTCAGAGTGGACCTGGGAACAACAACAATTAAGAGGTAGTTCTGCACTCCTCATAACCTCCTGATCAGAGGCCTTGATGCTGAATGCAGTTTATCATCATACTCAGGACGCCACTGTCGGGAAGTGAAAGAAAAGAAACTATTGAAGTAGAAGTGATGATTCCTTTCTATGTCTGTTATCAACACTGTGTCAGTTGCATATCTTATGTTGTTAAGATTGTGACTACCAATAATGAATCCTGGTAGGTATAATAAAACATTTAATAATGGGTGTAAAATATCTTCTTTGTATATATTTGCCAGCTAAGAGACACTAAAAAAAAAACAAATATTACACTGGATCCACTGTACTGGTATTATGGTTAGACATCCCATTACTGAATATTTGAAACAGAATGAGTTATGGTAATGAGTAGAAAAATGCTGTTGTATCTTTTATGCGCCATGTCCCTTCTAGATCATGACTTCCGTTTTTATGTTGCTCTAAGTTACTTTGGTCTCTTTAACATCCTTCACTCTCTTTGCTCTATCATTCATTCACAAACTGATTAAGTATGTCCTGTAAGTGTTAAAATCTCAAGATACTCTTTCCTCATTATGTTTCTTAGGAATTTCCATCGTCTCATGATTATAATATAAGTTTCCTTGTAGATCCTATTTATCCTAAAAATCCAGCTTGTTACTCACAGGTTCTGTCTGTGGTATTCACTGGTAGAACCACATCCCTATTGCTTCAAGTCTCTTCTGTATCTGTGAAAAGGTTGTTCGGCACTCAATGCTATCTAGGAGATTAGATATTGCATAGTAGTTCAGCACACTTCTTTTTTTTCTGAAGACATTTTCCAAACTATTTAATACTTTGCTTAGTTTCTGAAAAGTAATTTCTGCAATTCTTACTCACTTTTGGAAATCTGTGTAACACTTTCAACAGTCTGTTGCTACACAATCAAAGTAGTTAAATTTCTGCACCAGTTTGATGTTGACATCTCCAAGACACAGCTCACACTCTGGTCTGTCTCTTTTGTTAGAAACCATGCTTTCTGTTTTCACAATGTTACTTTTTTCTTGTTTTCTTTTACTAAGAGATCATTCAGTTTTCTAGCCAGTACAAATTGTGAAAATTAATAAAAGAGTTAAAGATAATAACTGATTGCTGGTTAAAATGGACATGAGAAAATGCATTCAAAAGACATTGGCAGCTGCAATTCAAGTTAAGAAAAACTTCTATACAAGGAAATTAGAAATGCAATGATATGCGATCAACCATGATTATGAACCGAACAAATAGCTATTGATTATTAGAGCAAAACATCCACGCTCTAAACTAAGGCAATAACAAAGAAGTCACAGCAAAAATTCACTGGTATCAGTTCACAAAATAATGATATGCGCTCAGTCACGTTTAGAATGGCACATCCCCCCACCCGAATTGAATAAGATAAAAAGTTAAGGCTGTTCATTCATCTTTAATCATTTTGATGAAATTATTCAAGAGCTGTGAAGAGAATCACATTTGATAGGGAGGAGCACAACTTGAGGAAAATGTCCTACATTCTTCTCTATCTTATTAATATTAATAAATTTCCAGTTCCTTGTTGCATTTGTAGAAAAAAAGCATAGCAAAATATGAAAACAATTCACATTTCTTACTGCATTTAGTTTCAGGCGAGATATAGGAGTTCCAATTGATAGGGTCAATGTGCATAAATATAATGCTATCCATAATACACATTTCTTACATAACTGGATTAGTGAGCAACAGCAAGGAAAAAGTGTGTATGTGTGTGTGGGGGGGGAGGGGAAGAGAAGAACAAAAAAAAAAAAAGAAGCAAAACAAAAAAAACAAAACAACCAATAACTATGATGGGATAGGATGGTCTTTGCTGTAAAAATAGGTCAGCCAATAACGCAAAGTTTCACAAGAGACTTATACTGAGCAGTATTTATAAAACACATTCAAACAGTTGTTCTTTTTTATGGTAATTTAAAAAAATAAACTTTTAACAGAGACTAAATGTATAGTCAAGCTTTGATTGGATTTTATTGGTGTTAGTATTGCACCTCAAGTCTTAGTCCTCCCCATAATAATTATTATATAAATGGGATACACCACGCATACATTGTACCTGAAGTGTAAGTTATGATTCAGATGTGTGCCACTGCTACCCTCTGGTTGCCCACATTTTTTTCTCCCCACCCTGAAGGGGGCAGTACCACTCATTTTGAACTAGTCAATGTTTTATATTATATTATATATATATATATATATATATATATATATATATATATAAATGTGTGTGTGTATAAATCATTTATCACTTCACTTGCTGACAGACTTATGTAATTTTCTTTGTGCGAGCAAGATATTTTGTTGCTCAAATCTGTGAGCTTCTCCAACTGTAGCAGTGAAAACGGCAATAGGAGACACTGGCAGACTTTTGGAATGGAATACTCACTTGAGGAAGATGGAAGAACTACAGACAATAAATGCACCTTCATTTTAAATGTGCAAATATAGATTTTTTTTAATACCAATGTTCGCCCAATACAAGGCTCAAGAAGCACTCCAAGTAGAAGGTTACTGTATGAGGTTATTGTATGAGCATTAGAAAAGGCAAGAAGTTCAGTTCATGAGTTTATGTAGAAAAGATAACAGTTAACCCGATACTTGAAGTCAAGAGTGTAGTGATTAGGAAAACATGCTGCGACGAATCTGTTCCACAAAGCAGCAGTTCTTGGGGAAAAAGCTGTTTCAGTGGAACTTACTTCTTACTAATGGAATAATATTTACTAAGATTAATCTGGCAAAGGGAGAAATACAACAAGAAGATTGTGTTGCATTGAGGAGTCGGAGCATAATTTGAAATCTAAAATTGAAAATCTTGGTTTTTATCAGGGTTGTTGGCATTAATGAGAAATACACAACTCACCCAAATTAATGTAAATGGAAGAATATATAATGATTATGTAAAAGATTTTCATGGCATTCTCATTCTATTTTATTTGATAGCATTAAAAAAAGTAAAGAAAGAATGAAATAAGAATTCAAATCTGTAGTGGAATTAACAGTTATATTTGTAAGGTGGCACATTGTAGAAGTTTTTTTGTGGTTGTTAGAATTTATATCTGTCTCTGAAAATTAAGAGGCATGTACTTTTTCTGGTGAATGTACTAATTGATAGTCATGGATTGCAGCCCAGGACTTTTACTTTCAACTTCCTTAATAAGAGAAATAAAATTAGCAGAAAATAGTTTCAATGTTTAATGAACTGATAACACTTTCATGGCTGCATTTTTATAGCATTGTTGCATGGCTGTGCTGGCCAATATTTTGAAAAATAGGAAATAGTTATTTATTCAGAATAAATGACTATAAAGTTGCTGACACTGATTTCTGATCAGTGCAACCATTTTGGTTTTGATAACATACACTGAAGCACAGATTAAGCTAAATGACATCCAGAACTCACAATATATTGGTCATTGTATACTACTATATATATATAATATATATATATATATATATATATATATATATATATATATATATATAGAGAGAGAGAGAGAGAGAGAAGAGATTTTAATGAAAGTTTCCCAAAGCTATATATATATATACCTTGGGAAACTTTCATTGCAAATTTTTTATCTCTCTCTATATATATATATATATATATATATATATATATATATATATATATATATATATATATATATATATAATATGTGTGTGTTTTTTCAAGACAGTGAATTCCTTAGCATTAGTGTTATAGAGTAACTAGTGTTTATCGCTATTTACAAGTTTATAAGTCTAAACTAATTTGTAAATTTGTACTATAGTAGCATAGTAGTAATGAATTATTTTAATAAAAAATTTAAAAAATGAAAACAATTTTTGTAAAAATCTTAATAATAAAGATTTTGACAATAGAACTGTTTTTTTTTATTAAGTCTTTGGCATTGTTTTATCATGTATGCTCATTTTTTTAGAGAACCTTTGGAGGTACCTACTTATGACTATCTAGCAAGTAAAGTTACTTTTTTCATGTCTCATATAAAGACTATCGTTTAAAGTGAAAGCTTTTAAGATTCTATGTGAAGAATATGTTAGAATTAAACTGCTTTTATTACAAATAGCATAGCAATTACAGATAATTCAATAGAAAGAATTAGTGAATTTATTCTGGCAGGCATCTGAAATATTCTTAGGGAGGAACTGCAGTGAAAAGATGAGAAAAATATTTTTAAAAATATAGCATATGTTTTCAATTCAAAAACAAATGTTTTTTGATAGTAGACAATTTTAGAAAATATAATTTTTGGGGGATGTAAAAAAAAAGTAAAAAAAAAAGGTTATTCTTGACCTACCTGAATATTAGCATAAGCTGCTTTGATAACCTTCTGGTTTCCAAGTCTAAGGCCTCTTTCAAGTTCAGTCTTGATAGAGCCCATAACATCATCAAGGTCATCTGGAATTAAGAAACAAAAAATAAAGTTTATTATGAGAGCATAGTAGATTACTGAACAACAATAGTAGGTGATTTAATCAAACTTTCAGATGAGAAACTTACTAACAATCAGTTTACAGTAATGTATTAAATGATGAAAGTATTGCATTTTATATAATAGTAATAGTGAAAGTAGTCATTTCCACACAGGAGGAAACATTCACCATTCATTGATAGAATGATTAGTCTTACTGTACTTTAGTTGAAATTTATTAAATGCTTTTTCTTAAAACAAAATAAATTAATAAAGAGAATAAAAACTAATATAAAAGTATTTCAGTGTTTATGTGCATCAGTCTCAATATTTTTAATTACTTTAGAAACAATATATTCAGACAGTTATGTTTGTGTAAGGTAAACATGCAGATGTAAGAGTTCTGTATATTGGTATGGAATAGTGAGATTAGCTGTTTCATTACAGGAAACATTCAGCATTCACTGACAAAACTGTTGACCATGTTTACCATAGTCTATGAATATAGAATACAGCGCAGTACGTAATCTGTTCAATGAAACAACGTTAAAGATTAACACTCATGAGTCAGACACTCTACTGAATCTGACTATATCGCCAATACCACCAGCAGCTGTTCTGTAATTCTTCAGTCTTCGATATCAAAGGCTGGCAGTGCATATTCGGGAAAAACATGGCCGCCTTTATACACATTGCATTGAATATTTTGAACCTTCTGATTGGTTAACCCTTCTATTGGTGAACTATAAAATGAGTCAGCTCATTTTGACTGGCTCACAAGTACACCAGGGTACCCAAAAACTCCAACAGAAACAGCATTATTGTCAGATGAAATTTATAAAATCTTTTTCTTAAAAGTTTTTCAGGAAATTATACTTCCCAAGTTCACTGTTATATATCTTTCTTGTATTGATTGGAATTTCTATCCAAATCTTTTGTTTAAGGTAGCGTGGAAAGTCAATTTTCAGTTGTATGGTGATTGCCAACTAGGGACCCAAAAATTTTCACTCTGCATCAGATTAAGCTTATTCTATGTACTTTGTCCCTTCAGGACGTTGGTAATCATGGCTCTCCACAATTGTCCTTCATAGCTCTTAGTAAATCTTTGAGAGTACACAAGCAGTTGATATTTACAGTTTCTTCAGGAACAAGGGCACAATAGTAGGCGATTCAAACTTTCAAATGAGAACCTTTCTAACAATCACATGCGTAGATATTTTCTAAACTGAGGTTGGAGGTACAACCATAAGTCTCCAATAAAGACTGAATTCATTCTATCTAGTGAATTACTCTACAGTAGGCCCACAAATGTATTGATTAAGCTTAGAAGGGTCTTATTTAAAGCCACAATAACAGGAAAACTAGTGAGAATTAAATTCATAAGATAAATTTGTTTAATGATTGCATTGTGGGGTGCAATTTTGACTTGGTATCAGATTAAGATTCTTCTATGTACTGAGTCACTTCAGGATGTTGGCAATCATGGCTCTCTGCAATTGATTGTCCTTTGTAGCTCTTAGTAAATTTTGTCTTTATGATATCTCTCCTAATCTTTGTTCTGCTAGCCATTTATACAGGTTAGTTAGGTAGATTAAATGATGTTTTTCTCTGTCCCTCTTGCCTTCAATATGTTATGTGGCTGTCAAATTTTCCAAGCCCTCTTTGTTCATTATGTATATGAGAAATTTCAATTCTGAAGTATAAATGTCCTTTTTGTTTCCATTTTTTCTAAAACTTTGCTGTTACTCACATGTTCAGCTCATGGTATTCTCAGCATTCTTCTGTAGAATCATATTTCTGTTGCCTCAAGTTTTTTTCTTCATCTGTGAAGAGATTGTCCAGCATTCACTGCCATATAAGAGTACTCATATTACATACTTTTTTCTTTGTTTTTAATGAAATTTTTCTATTTCTTAATACTTTGCTTAGCTTTTGGAAGGCATCTTTTGCCATCCCAATGTACCTTTGGGTTTTGATGTCATATTTTCCATCTTTTGTTAAAACACTTTCCACATATTTAAATTGTTTTACTTGTTTAAATTTTGGCATTTCCAATTTGTAATTTGTATGTTGGGCCATTCCTTTTGCTGACAACCATACATCCTATTTTCTTGTAATTGATGCTTAGTCCTTGTAACAGAGAATCAGGTCAACCCAATAAGAGACTCAGAATTTAATCCAAGTTACATCCTCTTCCACAATGAGCTGTTGAGAGAAGACCTTCTACTTAGAGTAGGTGGCACTGACAGTTTGCATATGAATGATACCGGGCAGGTATTAGCCAATAGTCAGCATGGGTCTGAGACTGGGAGAACTATATACCATGAGTGCAAGGACCCTGTGAGACTTAACAATGGTGCAAAAGTGCTTGGTTTGCAAATCTGGGTGGAGTGCGGTATGCTTTGATGGAAATGAGCGAGTAAGTTCCCAGATACTCCAACTGTTATCACACGTCATAATACATTCTCTCTCTGTGGAATGCTCATAGGCCACCTTCTGGTATGTGGTTGGCTTAGGGTAGCTGTAGCATTCTTAAAGTGACGGGCTACTTCAGTAACCAAAGGGTGGGATGATGAAACCTGTTATGCCTCCCCCATCAAAGTGCTGGTTCCATGTGACAGTAATAAGAGTGCATCAAGAAGACCCTGCAAAAGGAGGCTGGTGTGTGAGCCACCAGGAAACGACAGATGCAAATTCCTTGGTCACTGGGGTGGCATTGGAAGTGAATGGAGACATTGTGGATGACACATGCTGGTTTTGTTGCAATGTTGATGCTCAACATATTATCTCAGCTGAGCTCGATGCAATGTTGAAGGGCATAAATTTGGCTCTGCAGTGGAAGGCAAAAGTGTTGCATCTGGTCACTGATTCTGCATGTATGGATTGCTGGATCAACAACACTTTAACTAAAAAGGCACATGTGTGAGATGCTTGTGCAGAGACAACTGGGGACCTTTTGGGCGCTAATTGCAGAGTATGACCTCAGTTTGGATGTAAGGCTGGCAAAAACCAACCAAAATAAAGCTGACAAATTTACCAGAGTTCCACAGAGGTGGTTAGATTTGTTGAAGAAGGACACCAAACCTATCCTCTCAGCATGTAGTGCAGACATGGGAGAGCTGGTTCCATGCAAAATAATGGAAATACATCAGTGTAGCAGTCATCCTAGTGTTAAGCACACCACTTACTTTGTCAGATGAGTTGATCCCTTCGCATCTAGCATAGCTGTCAAGATGGTAATTCAGAAGTGTCCTGAATGCCAGTCCATAGATCCAGCACTGGCAGAATGGAAGTGGAAAACTAGGGGTATGCAGTATGTGGTCAAGGCTGGGGATGGATATTATGCATTATGGCTGCAGTCTCTGTCTGGTGACCTAACAACATTCCGAGAGCATTATTTGGCAGTTGGAGTCGATATTTTGTGAGAGAGGTCTGCCATACAAAATCCCTACTGACAACGATACTGCATTCACCAGCAGGTTATTCAAGGCTTTCATGGAGGAATGGGGCATCCAGCTGCACTTTTGTGTGACATCCGGAAACAAGATAATAGAAAGATGCCATAGTTGCATAAAATGGATTGTGGTGCAGTAGCAGTGTCCCATACAAGAGGCCATTTACTAGTATAATGCCATGCTGAAGGATGACACATCGAGCCCAAATGAATCAGCTAACACAATTCATATTTATGAGGTTAGGCTCAAGGGCATTGATGCTGTACCTGCATTAACACCATTGACAGAGCACGTGACATATAAAGTTGAAGATGTGGTGTGGGTGAGACCACCCCAGAACCAATGTACCTCCAAATTTACAACCAGGAAGGCCATTATGATCATCAGTTCACAATCTATCTTGATTGATGGCATGCTGCATCTGACTGTCATAGGACCAATGCTCTGCCACTGATTCATCCATGAGCGATGTGGAGTTGGAAGTAGATTCCTGGGTTTTCATTTCACCTCCTCCTACAGTGGAGATGGACATCAATAAAAATGAGGATGAAGTACATCCCTTGCATGGTGGCAACAATAAGGATGAAGTACCTCCCTTGCAAAGGAGCACCAGAATGAAACGCCTGCATCTGCATGTTGGTGCTGTGATCATAAGATCAGAGAGGAGTGTAACAGAGAATCAAGTCAACCCGATAAGAGACTCAGAGTTGGTTGTATGTGGTGCTTACAGCACCAGGAGTTATATCCTCTTCCACAATGGGCTGTTGAAAGACCTTCCACTTAGAGTAGGTGGCATAAACTTTGTATATGAATGATACTAGGCAGGTATTAGCTAATAGTCAGCATGTGTCTGGAACTGGGTGAGCTATATAAAACCAGTTTTTTCTCAGTTGAGAGAGTTCTCACGACATGTGGATGTGCAAAAACCAGACAAGATGAACACAGTCCTTTCTTCTCACTTTCCTTCACTACCTTCTGTAGTTCTTGCAGTTTCCTTTCTGTCTACTATCAACACTATGTCATCTGCATATCTTATACTAAGATTGTGGCTGCCAATAAAGAATCCTGGTAGGACTTCTAATTTTGTCAGAATTGTCTCACTGTTGAATAAGTCTGGTGAGAAGAAACATCCCTTTCTTATGCCCCTTTCTATTTTTGTATATTAACTGAATTCATTTTCTATCCATATGCAGGCATTTTGCTGCCAGTATGGGTTCTGGATTATTCTAATATCCTTCCTAAATATGTCATGGTTACCAAGCAGTTCCAACAGATTAAGCTTAAGAAAACCTAAAATACAAAAAATAATCCAAGAACAGTCACAAAAAGAAATTAACCCATTGATGTCAACTGCCTTATTTTGGAATGATGAGTATTAATGAATATTAGGTAGAAACCTTTAATTAAGGCTAGAATTTTTTTTCAGAAACCCATAATAGTGAGAATACTATAATTAATACTAAATTTTTATTTTCTTTTTTATAATTAATTCTGGATTTTATGATGGGTTAAGGAAACAAACTTTATTAAAATGAATCTTCAGACTTTGAAATGAAATCAATTCTCTTATAAACAGAATTAAGTTTTATAACTTTGTTGATAGAATTAAAGATCTTTTAGTAACTTTTGAAAAATTTAGATGTATATACAACACTGTTTCTTCAAATTTAAGTATTAATTTTTTTTTCTGTGTATAAGACACACTATTTTACTTCCAAATTTGATATCAAAGTCCGCTTGTGTCCTATACACTGAAGGTATGAATATGATATACGCAAGTTTGCATAAATATATTTAAACATTTAAATTTCCATATTTTATTTCATTTAAACCTGTTACTTATAGCAATAGTAAATTGATCTCCTTTGTGCATAGAATAATATATATATATACTAATTTTTAAATGAAATTAGATGGAATTTCTGTTCAATAAAAATTTTTCAACCACAACTTCCAAAAACTGTACCTTCCAAATAAGTGATCTTTATACGTTGGTGCATCTTATATTACAAAAAAAGGTATTCTTAAAACTTAATTCTTAAATTGGTAAGAGTTGCATTTTTTAAATTTCCAAAACATGTTGAAAATAAAATCAAATATTATTTATTTCAATGCAGACTCTTATTTGACATTCAAAAATGATTTTTTTTTTTATATATTAATTATTTTTCATTAGTTCCTTTGTTTCTTTCTTGTCACTTGATTGTCAAACTAGCAAGCATAAAATCAAAATAGAGACAACTTTTGATAAGACCTAAACTTGAATCCTCTATATTGGGAACTCATTTTACATGGGTGATGCTTGAACCAATTTAGGCACAGATTTTAAATTTTGTTACAATCTGTTTGATTGCATACTGTTTAACTAAATGAGTGGTTGGCTTTAGCATTTCAATTAAAAACAATAAAAGTCAGTAATTAATAAAATAATAGCTAAAAGTATGTTTTTCATTAGCTCAATATGACATTTTTTTCTTTTAAGCATATTTTATATATATGTTAAATTTTTCGTTTTCAAAATATTTTTGATTGTTTTTTTCTTCTTTTATACATTTCTCGACCATTATTTGTTTTTAAAATTTACAAAAAAAAAAAAGAAAAAAAAGAAGTTTTCTTTCATTTTGGCATCTTTTGCTTTTATCTAGCCACTCTGAAAAAGAGCTAATATCCTAGATTCTTCATCTAATTTTGATTATCACCAAGTATATTTATCAGAATCTTTTATTTGCTGTGAATAGGTCTATTAAAATAATGAAGTTATAGTATAATATATCTTTTACCAAGCCCTTTTCCTCTTCATTTCCTGTTTTTAGTCTACAGATTAAATCATCTGTCTCCCCCCTTACATTCTACTGGCAGATTTGCCATTCTTTTTTTTTTTTACAAATTGGGATGCTCCCTTCCCATTTCTGGTTTAACTCTCCCTCTCATACCTTTCCAGTAGCAAAACTGCTTTTGTTAACAGGTTGGACAATAAACAAAGTAAAGTTGTTTTTATTCATAATATCAAATTAAAAATAAAAAATCTTTCAACAATCTGACACCAAATTTGATTATATAAGATTTTTGCTATTAGTATTGTGAATTCTGTGACTGTAATTGTGAGTTCAATCCCTGGGCTGGGTAGTGTGTACTTACTCTTAATGGAAACAGGGCAAGCAATAACTGAGTGGTAGTAAAAATAAGAACTAGACACGATATTACTAGACACAGGCAGTGCAACGAGAACAGTCTAACCCTGTAGATTAAACAAAAAAGACTGCTTAGATAACAATAGGTAAGAGATTATTAAAAATCTAGTGTCAAATAAAAAAGGATCAACAGAATGTGTGTGTGTGTATATATATATATAATGACAAATTGAGAAAAAGGTTTTGTGATGCATTTCATCCTTTAGGAGCTCATTGAACTGGGCTTTGTTGATGCTGCCACGCGCGGGTAATTTCAAAATCTTTGAATATTTTTTTTTTTTTTTTTTTTGAAAGAATATTTTTTCAATCTAGCCAAATCCATTTGTATTCTTTTTCTCTTGATTATCTTTGTCCCTGACTATCCCACATTGTGACCACAGAAAATCTACCATGAATGGTGATATATTGTAAGAGCCTGGACACAAATTTACCATGGCTGAACTAATGATCAAAGTACTTTCTAGACATTTTCGTCTTAGCAAATTATTTTCTATTTTAATCAAAGTAGCATTCCCTATGTCAAAATTGTGATCAGTTTTGTTATGGTGAACTTCCTCCAATTTGTCATACTATTTTTTTTAAATACCGTTTGTTGATATATATAAAATTATATATTGTTATATCATATATATATATATATATATATATATATATATACACACACACACACACACACACACACACACAAACAAACACACACACCCACCCCAAATCTGTTACTCAGAGTTTTCTGCAATGCTAATCCATCAAGTGAAACTCAGTTTATTTTATATTTTAAGCTTTAACTTTATATGCACATAGCTATCATATACAAAGGAGTTGAACCATTTTGTTTATCACAATCTTAACACTTTATAAGATTAAACATTTTTTTCTTATTCTTTTTATGATTTTCTATCAGTACAAGAACATTTATCATACCACAACATTCTTGTCAGTCCTGGAGATAAAACAAGGGTGGATACCAAAATTATGTACAAAAGTTTAAATATCTAGGAAGTGTTTTAACAGAGGATGAAAAATGTGACACAGAAACCCGAAATCATAGTGGGACAGCAAAACCTAAGTATCAAGAAATAGGAAAATTTCATTATTAAAAAAAAAGAAAAGAAAAAGGAAGAACATTAAACTGTTATGCAATATTGGTCCTTCTATATGACACTGAATGCTGGACAATCTCATCTAAGAAAAGAAGAGACTTGAGGTAACAAATATGTAGTTCTACAAAAGGATGCTGAGAATACCATGAACTGAACACATGAGAATGGCAAAGTTTAAGAGAAAATTGAAACAAAAAGCACACTTAGCATCAGGAGTTGAAATTTATAGGGTACATAATGAAGAAAGAGGGCTTAGAAAATTAACACTCCCAGGACATATTGAAAGCAAGAGAGATAGAGGAAAATAGCATATAACCTATCTAATGAGCTTTGGTAAATGGCTAGCAGAACAAGGATTATGGAGAGATAGCAAAAAGAGAAACTTTACTAAGAGCCACAAATGAAAGGAAATTGTGGAGAGCCATAATTGCCCACATCCTGAAGGTAAATGGCACATAGAAGTTTAGTCAAACAGAAAGCTACAAATGATGGGTTAATCAATTGTGCTGCATAAATCTAACAGCCTGTTTGGTTTGAAAATCAGCATTGAAAATTCTGTTTGTGGCTTTGATTTGAATGCTATCCACAAGGAAATATGCAACTATCTTAGCTACTAAGAAAAGCATACATATTTTTACTTATTTTCATCTGGAAGCTAGCTAAATCCTAAAATTTAAACAATCTCACTTTCCTTCAGATTTTTCATTTCTACCAGCATTCATACATTAATATTTCCTGTATGTTAAGATTGCTTGTTACATTTTTTTGATAGGAATCAAGAATAATGTATTAAATTTCAATAATTAATTGCAACACAGTAGCTGTAGAAAGCAAAGTTTATATTTGATACTTAAAATGTTTTTTTTTTAAATTCATTAATTGAAAATCATAAAAAAGAACATATTTAACCCTTCAGCATTCAACATGTTCAAACCCACCCCATAAATATCGGCTCTCACAATCTATTTGCATGAATTCCTGTGTTATTTGCAATGATGTTGCTATATATCATGGCAGAGTATACAGAGGCGGGTTGAACATTGAGAGCCAATATTTATCGGGTGGGTTGAATGCTAAAGTGTTAATGAAAATATCTCTCAGCAACCTCTATAAATTTATTCTCCCTTTGGTTTTAAGCTGCCATAACTCTTCCTAAAGAATTCTTCATTCAAATAACCAATAAATTCATTGATTGGTTCTTATTGAAGTTCTTGTCTTCAAGGAACTAGTTTAGAATTAGTTTAAAAAAAAAAAAAAAAAAATGCCAATCCCTTGTAGGTTTTAGATAGGTTATTTTACCAACACACTAGTCCCATGGGTCATTTTTTGTAGGATGTGCATGTAATAATTATTAGAATGGCAATTAGAATCATGGAGCTGGGTTTAAATTTTGTCTGAGTCTGTTGGGAAAAGCATGAATACATTTCTTTTCCACCCAGTTATAGTATTTTAGCCTTGAGTCGAATACAGTCTTTGAGAAGGAGAATTCTGAATTGAAAAACCATGAAAAAGACTATGGGTGAAATACCCACTTCTTTTCCTAAAAAGTCATGGAGATTCAGAGACAATAAAGAGGTTTACGACCACATCACCTGAAACACCAGTTCCAAAATGATCACCAAAGTTAAACAATGTCGAGCCTGGTCAGTACATAGATGGGTAACCACTTGGGAATACTAGGTGCAGTAAGTTTGGATGTGCAGGTGATATAATAGATAATGGCTTGAAATTCTTAATCAGGGAGCTGAGTTCCAATTCCTGTTTGGTTTAGAAGCAAATACCCTTGGGAAATGTATGAATCCACCTTTTCTCCCCCAGCTATGAATTAATTAGTAAGACATATCACTAAAACATTATCTCAAAAAACAAAAAAAGAACAAATATATTCTTACAATCTAAAAATATTTTTTGGCTTTAAATAACCTGTAAAGTGTTGATAAGCCATAAAAAAATGAACCAATTAAAAATAATAAAGAAAAGAAATCTGGATTGCCATGATTGTCTCCATCCTGAATATATATGTGTGTGTGAGGAGCAAAAACATCAGTGAAAATTGTACTATTATCTATAGAATTTTATAGCAAGTATCTGGTAAAACAGGAAAGTTTAGATACATAATAGCTAATCAAAGTAGCCAAACAATGCACTATAGATCCATATACCAACTTGAAATTGTGTATTCAAAGCTTAAACAACTAGTTTGGTTAATACAGTCATTTTTGTAGCATAACACCAATAGGAGGATGTAAAAAATAATATAACGTGAATTGTATCAACTGAAGATGGAAACTGTATTCCACCATGCTTAAACATCTAACATTTCTCCTATGGTCCAAGAAATATTGTAAATATTAGAATTAAGGAAAGATTAAAAATTATTAAGTAAAAAAAAAAATTAAAAGATTCCATATATGCCTAACATTATCTCTTTCTAATGCTGTTGTACCATTACTTTTTTTTCATTTATTTTTTGTCATGTTGGCAGAAAACCAAATTAGAGCAGGGCTTTCTTGGCCCAAAGTATTCTTGGGATCCTTCTGTAGAATCTCTTTTCTGTTGCCTCAACTCTCTTCTTCATCTGTGAAGAGATTGTCCAACATTCACTAGCATGTAGGAGGAGTGATTCTACATAACAGTTCTAACAAAATTTTCCTATTTCTTAATATTTGGCTTAGCTTTTAGAAGGTACTTTCCACTATCCCAATGAACCTTTAGATATTTAAATTTTTGTACTTGCTTTATTTTGGTATCTCCAATGTGCAATTGACATTTAGTCCTTTCTTCTCGTTTTCCTTTATTATCTTCTGTAGGTGTTCTTGTAGTTTCTTTTCTATATAACTGCTATCAACACTGTATCATCTGCATGTTTAATGTTGTTAAAATTGTGTCTGCCAATAATGAATCCTAGCAGGACTTCATATTCTTTTACAATTGCTTCACTGTAAAAGTTGAATAAGTTTGGTGAGAATCACATCCTTTATGATACTATTTTTGTGTATTTACTGAATTAATTTTCTATCTATATGCAGATGGCTTGTGCACAGTATAAATTCTGGATTATTCTAATATCCTCCTCAAACAAGTCAAGTTTACCTAGCCTTTCAAACTTTTCATTGTGACACAGTTTATGAAGCACTTTTGTATAATCTGTAAAACATAGGTATACATCGTTTTGTATTTATATTGCTCTTTCTGATATCACTCTGGGCATAAATATCACATTCCTTGTTCCAGTGTCTTTAACAAACTTTCTGTTCTCGTCCTATTTCAGGTTTAATTTTTCTGTGTACTTTATTCTTGAGAATTCAGATAAGTTTTATTATGAGGCTCATTAGGCTGATTGTCTGGTGGAGTTTGCATTCCTCTTCAGTTGTGTATGTTGCAATATATAAATGACTGCCTGATTAGTATAGCTAAGGCACTGGGACGATATAAGTGTCTAAGCAGTAAGGGGAGAGACAGAATGATACGCAAGATTAATGACTTCCGCTGGACTGAGAAAATATGAAGGAAATCATATTTCATAAAAGTGCAATTTATATTGCATTTTTAATTCCATGGTTCAGACTGAAATAATGCAAATAAACCACATGAAACATGGCTTTAAAAAGTTTTAATTTGTAGTGTTTCAGCTTAGACCAGGTTTGTTCTTAGGTTGCAGTTTCTTCAAGTCAAATGCTTGTGGCTTAAAAATAACCCTTCAGCCAAATTTTACCCATGAATTAATAGCAAGACTTTTGTAGCAGTAAGCAGATTTTATTCTCTGGTTGTAACCTACTGCTATAGACAAGCAAGGCAGAGATGTAGTGTAGATGAGAGAGGTTAACAGTTTAACAGAAATCTTCCCTTTTGTGTCCCTCTCGAGGTGATCTTGTCATTCTGTGTTTTTCTCCTCAGCTAATGGCCACTGTCTTATAGAGAACATTGTCTTGTTATCTTTGTCAAAAAAAAATAATTTATCTTCATTCAGTAACCTTTTTGTCTGAGTCGTTTGCCATGGGAGTTGTGAAGTCCACTTAACTTAGCTGATAATTATCGGGGAAGGAGGGGAATAAATGTACAATACCATTTTTGTGACAAAAGTTGGGAAGGTAAGAATTTGCTAAGTTGTTAGAGAAAGAAAAACATTATTTTTATATTTTTCAATAGTAACTCTGCTAATGTGGCTTATGCTAAATTACATTTATTAGTAGAAATACCAGCAGATACAAATATGAAAACTTTGCACATATGATGTAAGAAACAATTATGTAGATTTTTGTGCTTTAAGTAATCAAGATAAAATTTGCTGCATTATTGTTAATTTCATGGTTGTCCCCATTTTTTTGTTTTTCTCTTGGTCATAGAAAAGTTGAAAAGAAAATGATTATTTTTTTAAGCTATTTATTTATATCTTTTGTCTATTTATTTATAAAAAAAAATTAAAAACTCATAGAAAGAGAAAACATGTTGGGAATTTTTGTGCAAGAAGAGCAACAACAAATTTATTTTTTCTTCTTCAGGCTTTCTTTTATTCATCGTTCTTTCTTTAACAAGTACAAAGTAGGCAATTGACAGAAGAAGAAGAAAGGTGTTGGAATGGAGAAAAAGGGGTCAGGCAAGTGGTCTCTGTCAACAGGAAATACAACTCTCCATCATAGGAATTGGTGCATGACACATACGTCTGTGCACATGCACACACATATATATACTTAACCATTATATAGTAAACCTACATAGCATTTACACTATGAAATATTTATGCATAAATATCTTGACCGCAATTGTACGCTCCATAAATCATGGCATCTTTTAAAGATCACGCTTCTTGCAAGCATAATATTCCCAAATTCTTGCATTAGGGTTGCAAAGTAGCATGGCGGTAATTGTCTAAAAAACACAGGAAATTCTGACTTGGGCTGCTTGGACTTACTTTTACAATAATAATAGCCTTAAGGTAAAGGCATGAACTCAATTTTCCTTGCATTATGTTTGAGTGTCAGATATCTTGACAAAGATTTTGTCACTGGCATAGTTTGATTATTGATAGAGAAAAGTGTGGTTAGAGCAGAAATTGTTCTTTTCTACTGATAGCATTGATACAGTTCCAGTTTTCTCATATTGGAAAGAAGATGAAAGAGAAGAGAAGACATGAAAGACCAAGCATAGTTTCCCTACTATCTACCAACTAATGTAGCCCAAGTAATCACAAATATCAAATTATATATATGTAAAATTTCAGATATAACTAAAATATATCTGTAAAAGGACAACATGAATAAAAATGTTTTTCTTTTGTCTTTATTCATATATACAGAGGTGGTCAAACTTGCTTAACGTAAAAAGAACCATATATGATAAAGTTCAGATATTTGAGAGCTGCAAGACATGAACAAAATTTACACATACATTTTTGTTGCATACACATTTTGTTACAACATTTTTTTATATAAATATTAAGAAATGCATGTATGCAATAATATTCATTCATGAATGCTGTTTTTTAAACTGTTAATATATATTGGTTCCAGTAATCAAAGTACATACATATATGCCAAATGTTTACAAAATCTTAACTGATGATTGTTTTAAGGAACTTAGACAACATATTTCAACAAGCTACATATTAAAGGCCAAAGAGCTGCATATGGCTTGCAAGCTGCCATACACACACACACACACATATATATATGACACACAGGGTGTCTTAATAATGTATAGACATTTTGAAGGTTTCTCAAGAAATAATTCAAGCAACTATAACCAACTATATCTAATTTAAATAATGCATATGTAGACAGTATTTATTATAAATGCACGGTCTTAAGATTTTGCTGTCACATGTTTTTAAATTGATGCCCGTTATGATCCAGACATTTCTCAGAAAGAGATGCAATGGAACCACAAGCAGCAATCAACATTTCAGTCAGTATTTGGCTGCATTTTTCCTCTATGGAAACTTTCATTTTGGCAATTGTTGTTGGCTTTGTAGCATAGACATTATCTTATAAGTATCCTCACAAGAAAAATCCAAAAGGGTTGAGGTCTAGTGAACGAGGAGGATATTTGACAAAACCCTGTCTTCCAATCCATCTGTTTGGCAAGATTTCATTCAAGTATGATCATACATCACAGTGGTAGTATGGTGATGTTGCATCTTGCTGAAAATCAAATTCAGCATCTCATTCTCTAATTCTTGGCATGATAGACTGTTTCAGGGTTAAGGTGAGCATGTATACTTTTGTTTAGGCACCTTGTTTAAATGATGATGATGGTTGCCCACTCACTGCATAAGGATGGCCACCAAACTGGCCATGATAGATGAGGTGATTCCCCATCAGAAAAGTTTGGAAACCTGACAGTAACTGCGCAATTGTTTTCATATATATATATATATATATATATATATATATGCGCGTGTAAAAATCTGTGAGTAAGTAATCCAAGTGAATCCTAATAATGCAATGTATCTCAATGTATTTATTACAGAGCATATGTAAATAAATTACAAAATAAATGAAATTCACAAATACCCCATCTAAATGGCCATTTCATTCTGCTTGAGCTTGTCAACACTAAAAAGTTACATAAAATAAATATGAAGCCTAACTTTTTTAAAAAATTTAAAAAAAGAGACCGAAAGGAAACAAAAGAGAACCCTTGGGGACCTTTTGTGGAATCTTAGGGTTCCAAGGAACCCTGATTGAGA